AACATTTTAATTATAATAATTTATAAACTTTTAAATCTTTTCAAATTCAGTATTAATTTATATCGGTGAAGTGATATTGTTATTAAATAAAAACTATATGTATTAATTAATCATAAATGAAAAAGCTGACTACAATTCAGCGACCCCAGTAATTTAAAACGAATTTTGAAATGTTTTTGTTTAAATGGTTCGATTCTTGCAAATACGGATGTCCATACACGACATTAAGAGAAAATAAGAGCGGTAACTATAGCAAACTGAAATTCATGAAATTTCGATAATTTCTTTTTTGTAGCGTCTAATGTTAATATGTTAATTATAAACACAATTTAAATATTAAATTTTTAGGGAGTCAAATAGGACCCTAAGTTACAAAAAAATTCTATGAATTGTAAAATAAAAAATTGCAATAAAATCAAATACATTATTTAATTAGGAAAGCTTTTAATTACTTTTATGAATAAAATATCTTATGGACACTAGTGACTAAGGAAAAAAATTCTCGATGAATAATGAATTTTTACAAGAATTGTTTTAACTTTTTAAATTTTAATTAGAATAATTTATAAAGTTTTGAATTTAAAAAAAAAATCTGTACTAATTTGTAGCGGGGAATGGATACAGTTATTAAATATAAACTATATTTATTAATCATAAATGGAAAAATGTCTACAATTCAGCAATCCTCAATAATTTAAAAGGAATTTTGAATATTTTTGTATGTGCTTAAATGTCTCGATTTTTGTAAATGCGGACTTAAATAAAAAAAATGAATAAAATATGAAAAAATACAAATTAGGGACCTGTCATAATAGATCATTCCATCGTAAATAAATGTCATAACAGATCATTTCCTCTTAAATAAATGTCATAATAGATCATTTCATCTTAAATGTCATAATAGATCATTTCATCTTAAATGTCATAATAGATCATTTCATTTTAAATAAATGTCATAATGGATCATTTCATCTTAAATGTCATAATAGATCATTCCATCTTAAATAAATCAACAATGGTTTGTGGCAACTTTTAACATCAACTTGAGATTTTTCTTACTAAGAAAGAAAAATGAGGAATGTGTGAGAGAAAGAAAGAAAGCAAGAAAGCAAGAGTATTAATTTGTATTGGTCAAGTCATATTGTTATTAAATTAAAACTGTATTTACTAATCATAAATGGAAAAGCTCACAACAATTTAACAACTCCCAATATTTTAAAAAGAATTTTGATTTTATTTTGTGTGTATAAATGTGTCTATTTTTATAAATGAAAATTTATAATGTCCAAACGCGACATTATCAGAAAAAAAGCGTGAAGTATAGTAAATTTAAATTTATTGGTAATTTTCTGATACTTGCTCAACAAGCGTCCTCGTAATTAAGACTATAAAGACAAAATACCTAAAATTCAATAAAATATTAAAATGAATAAAATATGTAGTTTTGAAAAATTACTGGTTAGTTAAAAATATATATAAAAATGCGTTTACGTTGTATTCGACATGTAATTTTTTAATAATTATCTCCCTTTACATAAATTAATTAAGCATCAGACTGTCGATGAATGTGTTAATACCTCATAGAAACACCCGTCTGTGTTGAAATTGCTTTTTTTTTGTAATATTTTAATCTAAAACTAAGTAATAATTGTTTCAATTCATATTAATTAAACTTTAAATAAGTTAATTTTCTCAAATAACGTTTCAGAAAAGAATATTTCATTTTTTTAAATTTTTTTAATAAAGAGAATCATATTTTGTTGACGATTTTATAAATTTTACTGATAATCAGAAAAGAAAATTCAATCCATTTAAATTCGATTTTAAATACAGCAAAGTATTTTGTTTATTGGAAATATTAATTTTTCCAAGAAAGATTTTTTATTTTTTAAATATATTTTAAAACTAAAGTATCGAATTTTTTTAATTTTTATTTTTGGCGGTACCTAATCTGTTTGGACTAATGTCCTTGTCTTCGGTGTTACAGTAACGACGCTGTAGAAACTGTTATAAAGCTGCTACACCTAGTGTCTACCATGACATGGGTGAGAGCAGTCAATCAATCAATCAAAATCCTCAGTTTTGACGGATCTCCCCACTTTTGTTTCTTTTTTCTCATTAAATTGTGACCTAATGTCATCGACCCTGGTCCTCTGTTGGTTAAATGTCGGTCTTGAATTGGCCGAAGTCAAAACAAAAAACCAACCATTCATTTATTCGACTGACACTCGGTCAACACAGCGAACATTCAGGTAGTAGCCAGGGGAGGTGGGGTGGCGAGATGTGAAAGAGAGAAAAATGAACAGAATGCGAAGGGAAAAGGAAAAGAAAAAGAAAAGAAAAGGAAAAGAAAGCGAGCGAGACAAAATGGACGTAAAAAGAATTAAAGTCTCCTTCTGAAATTTGGAATCGAACTGCTTGACGGTTTTTCTTCAAAAGAATTTATTTTCTGTGTTTTCTTCATCCATTCAAACCTTTCGATTAACAAGCGGAAACTTCAAACAAATACCAAGTTTTATACGCATTGTTATTAATATTATTACTTAATAGATTTGTTTGGAAATTCTAAAGGTTTTTTATAACGCAGATATCACCATTACAATCGTGTATATATTGTCTGCAATGACCGTGAGAACAGAAATATTATATGTAAATTAAATACAACTTCACAAGTAAAATTAGTAAACATTGACTAAAATAAATAAATAAAATAAAGCCTAGTGAAATATTAAGAAAAAAAAATGAGGAAAGTGTTAGAGAAAGAAGGAAAACAAGAAAGCAAGTGTGAATATATAAAAAAAGAATAAGAAAGAAAGAAAAGTGGCATAATAATAAAAAAGAAAAACGAAATGTAAAGAAATATTAAGAAAGAAAGTGTGAGAGAGAAAGGGGAAAAAAATGAAACCAAGCGTGAAGAAAGAAATAAAGGACGTGGGAGAAAGAAAGAAAGAAAGAAAGAAAGAGAGAAAGAGAGAAAGAAAGACAGAAAGAAAGTAAGTGGGATAAAGAAAGCGTGAAAGAGATAACAAGAAAAGACAGCAAGAAAGAAAGAAAGAAAGAAAGTGTAGAGAAATATCAAGAAAGAGAATATGAGGAAAGTCTGAGAGAAAGACGGAAAGCAAGAAAGCAAGTGTGAAATAAAGAAATAAAGAAATAAAGAAAGAAAGTGGGAGATAGCAAAAAAGAAAGAAAGAAAAAAGAAAGAAAGAACCTTTCAAAGAGCAGGACAGCACTTCAAAGGAATATGTAATTATTTTAAACGTATTTTACATATTTTCTAAACATTATAAAATGCCATCTAAGATAAAAGATATTTCGGACAGGTTGTTTCTTTTTTTTATATAATTTTATTTAATATTGTTTCTTTTATAAACTTGAGTATTTTTGAATGACAACTTGTTTACATGAATTCTAGTTTGCCTGAACACACACACACACACACACACACACATATATATATATATATATATATACCAATTGGTAATTGGTAGTGCTAATTCCAAGGACATTAATCCAAAGAGAGCTCAATGATAAGTAAAAAAAATCCTTAAATATCCATTTATTTCATGAATATATTTAAATATTCACCTCTTCAAACTGAAGTTTTTATTATATATATATATATATATATATATATATATATATATATATAGAGAGAGAGAGAGAGAGAGTTTAGAGTTTTTTTATTATATATATATATATATATATATATATAAATATATATATATATATATGTAAATATATATATATATATAGTACAGTGGATAAGTTGTCGTCTAAATTACACAAAATAACACTGACATTTTATTTTAACAGATATATTTACTAAAATTAAACAAAAATATCTTGAAATACTAAAGAGTAAATTTTATTCAATAAAATCACCATTGGCTTCAACCACAGCCTCCAGACGACTACAGAATCTCCTGCATCTCTTCTGGACGGTCTCCTTGTTAACTTGGTGAATGCTGCCATAATCCTTGCCTTCAGTTCATCTTTGGCGCTACAGGGAGTTTTGTTGGTCTCTTGCTCAACTGCTCCCCATACATAATAATCAAGGGTTGTTTGTTTTTATAGAATATGCGCGTCGTTTGTTTTTATATAATATGATAAAATTGATACTGTTTTAAGGTATGCTATATTTATGGATTAAAGTGCTCAATGTCAGAGATAGAGCGTATGTAAATTTAAATGTGGTCATTGAAGTCAACACTCAGCGGTGACAGTCTGTTTCATGCTTATACGCAGTCGTCAGGCTATTGCGTATAAATATGAAACTGACTGTCGCCGCTGGGTGTTGACTTCAGTGTCCACATTCACACATACACAAGCACATACATACGCACGAAAACGCGCGCGCGTACACACACACACACACACACACACACACACACACACACACACATATATATATATATATAAATGTTCGACGTTGCTTAGCTTTGGTGATCATGCTAGAACCGATTTTTCAACGTGACCGTAAGCCATACCACCCGCACATTGAAGCTTACAGCATCCAGTATTCTCAAGCAGTTACCCATCTAGGTACTGACAAGTTTCGACATTGCTTAACACTGGCGATCGTACGAGATATAACCTTAAGCCATAGCCACCGCACATCGGAGGTTTCACTATCTGGTATTCCCAAGCGATCACCCATCTATGTGGTGACCAGACTCTATATTGCTTAATCTTGGTGATCGTACGAGTACATCTAAGTCACCCATCTAGCTCCTGACCAGACACGACTTTGTTTAACTTTGATCAACACATTCTCTATATTTCAAATCTGATGTCTCCGACTTAAAAGACGCCCTAATGACACATGTATGTTGTATGACACCTGTTTAAGATTTTCATGTTCGATATACAAGATTTAAAAAAATACAGTGAATAAGAATACCAGATCTTGTGTTAATGATTTACAAGAGACTTTAAATGTTATGGATATGAATTTTAAATCTAATGTATAAAATTTAATAATATCAGTAATTTTAAATATGGATTCTCGGGTCTGAAATCGCCTGTATATAACGCCTATATAAAAGGGTTATTTATCAATTCTATGGATTAGCATCTTTAAATTCGCTGCTTCAGCACTGATATGTTTTTCGACTTTTCTCAAACTGATCCTAGATTTGTTGCAGTTTTCATGCTCGCGTAGTAGTGAGTCAAAATCTGCTGGCAGCGTGACGTTTGACCTTGGACCGAAAATACTGAACTTTGTTAATTAGTGTTCAGTATGGCTTCGCTGACCTAGGATGGCATTCCACGTCTGTGGAATGTCCGCTGGTTACTGATGAGAGATATTTTGTGGATGCGAGTGAATTTTAATTTCGGTTTTTATGGCTTTATCTCAAACAAAATTGCTTCTGCAGTAAAAGAAAAAAAAAGAAAAAAAAAAAAGAAAAAAACAATAAACAAACAAGGAAGCCAGAAAAAATGTTTTCCTCTCAGGGGTTTATCTTATCCACTGGCAAAGTGAAGATGTTTTTTTTAAGGAAACCTTTTCAATGTTATTCCCCTGTCGAGCTAACACTTGTGATGTGCCCTTTCTTTTGTGATACCGAACAATGGATCATCTAACACCATTACTTACGCCTACTTGAACATTCTTATGAGCTTTGTCATTACACCAATCATTTATCGATATTTTGATCAATTCGATAAAGTCAAATTGTCAACTAATCTAAAATTGACCTACAGTCTGTTGTTAACTGGGGCAAGTAATGGCTTCTTAGTTTTAACAGCTCCAAAATGAAGCTTCTCTCTATCAATCATCTGACAAACCCCTTTCTACCTTTCATCAGCATGGCTGATGCTAACCTCCAGGAAAGTGACCGTTGCATCTTCTCGGGATAACTTGATACGAAGTGGAAAGACTACATTAAATCCATTATTAGGTTAGCTGCTAAGAAAGTTGGTTTACTGTGTCGTACTAAACAATTTTTTCTCTCCAGAATCTGTCTTACATATTTATAAGTCTACTATTCGTCCACACTTTGAATATAGTCCAGTGCTCCTGCTATTATTGGTCCTGATCTGGCATCTCGACTTCAGTCGCTTTTGCAACGCCGTAACGTAGCTTCCCTTTGCTTTTTATATAAATTTATAAATCTTTTCTATAATCCTTCCTTCCTCCTTTCTTTCTTCAATCCCTCCTCTTCTTTCTTTCTTTCTTTCTTTCTTTCTTTCTTTCAATCCTTCCTTCCCTATTACTTTTTCTTTCTTTCCTTTCTTCTTTCGTTCCTACTTTTCCTTCGTTCTTTCTTTTTTCCTTCCTTTCTTCCTTCTTTTTCCCTCCTTCTTTTTCCTTCCTTCTTTTTCCTTCCTTCCGTCCTTATTTTTCCTTCCTTCCTTCTACTCCCTTTGGTCCTTCCTTCCTTCCTTCCTTCCTTCCTTCCTTCCTTTTTCTTCCTTCCTTCCTTCCTTCCTTCCTTCCTTTATTTTTCCGTCCTTCCTTCCTTATTTTTCCTTCCTTCCTTCCTTCCTTGTTTTTCCTTCCTTGTTTTTCCTTCCTTCCTTCCTTCCTTCCTTCCTTCCTTCCTTCCTTCCTTTATCTTTCTTTTTTGTTTGTTTTCTTTCTTCTCAATAAAAATCACAAAATGTCTCTCATATATTTTTTCTTCCGTTAGTGGGCGCAACAAAAACTGAATGGTTCATTATTTATCTTAGGCAATGACAGGGTGTAAAAAATGAGCTAATTTATGACGAGGGGTTTAGACACGGACTCAGAAGACAATGGACTCGAACATGGTGACAGAATCAGGATTTAAAACCTTCTGTTCTTTTTTTTCCTATCATAGTTTGAACTCCGATCACCAGAATCAGCCAGATGTACGCAACTCTCTCCACCAGCAAGTAGGTCACCGAGTGTGTGTACTCACAACTGTAATACTACATCGGCCTATGGTACTTTTATTGAATGGGATTTTTGCGTGCGTAACAGAAATTATTGATTCGATTCAACGCATGGATTCGTGGATACAGTCGAGTGCATTCAGAGATGACCGTGTAAGTGAGTACGATAAAAAACAGGTCATGTGTGGATGCGTGTCTGGGTCTACTCCCCGTCCCCACGCCGACAAATATGTGTGTGTGTGTGTGTGTGTGTGTGTGTGTGTGTGTGTGTGTGTGTGTGTGTGTGTGTGTGTTGTGTGTGAATTTACATCAGTCCCGAGCAAGAGAAATACATTTTTATTGTTGGTTTACTTCCGGTGCAGCCTGATGAGGAATGGACATTTCTAAGCAGTCTCGCCATTGACGCAACCATTGACTGCTGCTACGTGGCCAGGGGTTGCATATGGCTCCGCAACCACCCAAAGGACGACAATCAGATTATTGTATATGCATCTGGGTTTTTGTTCGTGCGGGTGTGAACATCAAAATGGATGAGGAAGTGGGTTTTACGCGTCCGCTTCATGCATTCAATTTAAAGATTAATTCACTATAAATTCTAATATTTTGTAGATGAAGTATTTTCACTATTATTGTTTTATTACTAGTTTTATTCCATCTTATTATTGTTGCTTTTTAGATGAAGCATTTTCAATATTATTATTTTATTACTAGTTTTAATCCATCTTATTATTGTTGCTTTTTAGATGAAGGATTTTTAATATTATTATTTTATTACTAGTTTTAATCCATCTTTTTATTGTTGCTTTTTAGCTGAAGCATTTTTAATATTATTATTTTATTACTAGTTTTAATCCATCTTTTTATTGTTGCTTTTTAGCTGAAGCATTTTTAATATTATTATTTTATTACTAGTTTTAATCCATCTTATTATTGGTGCTTTTTAGATGAAGCATTTTCACTATTATTATTTTATTACTAGTTTTATTCCATCTTATTATTGTTGCTTTTTAGATTAAGCATTTTCACTATTATTATTTTATTACTAGTTTTATTCCATCTTATTATTGTTGCTTTTTAGATGAAGCATTTTCACTATTATTATTTTATTACTAGTTTTAATCCATCTTATTATTGTTGCTTTTTAGATGAAGCATTTTCAATATTATTATTTTATTACTAGTTTTAATCCATCTTATTATTGTTGCTTTTTAGATGAAGCATTTTCAATATTATTATTTTATTACTAGTTTTATTCCATCTTATTATTGTTGCTTTTTAGATGAAGCATTTTCAATATTATTATTTTATTACTAGTTTTAATCCATCTTATTATTGTTGCTTTTTTTTTGAAGCATTTTCAATATTATTATTTTATTACTAGTTTTATTCCATCTTATTATTGTTGCTTTTTAGATGAAGCATTTTCAATATTATTATTTTATTACTAGTTTTATTCCATCTTATTATTGTTGCTTTTTAGATGAAGCATTTTCAATATTATTATTTTATTACTAGTTTTATTCCATTTTATTATTGTTGCTTTTTAGATGAAAAATCCCTCAATATTATTATTTTATTACTAGTTTTATTCCATCTTATTATTGTTGCTTTTTAGATGAAGCATTTTCAATATTATTATTTTATTACTAGTTTTAATCCATCTTATTATTGTTGCTTTTTAGATGAAGTATTTTCACTATTATTATTTTATTACTAGTTTTATTCCATCTTATTATTGTTGCTTTTTAGATGAAGCATTTTCAATATTATTATTTTATTACTAGTTTTAATCCATCTTATTATTGTTGCTTTTTAGATGAAGCATTTTCAATATTATTATTTTATTACTAGTTTTATTCCATCTTATTATTGTTGCTTTTTTTATGAAGCATTTTCAATATTATTATTTTATTACTAGTTTTATTCCATCTTATTATTGTTGCTTTTTATTTTTTATTTTATTCTATTACTTCAGGCCTTCTGATTTTCACTTCGTAAATCACCAACATAATAAATAACAATCCAAAAGAAAACCTAAATCAGCACTTAAAAAATCACCTAAACCCTTCAACATTTCCTTTTCTAAAGTCCGCGGTGTGGAATCGTTCCTCATTGAGAAGTCTCGCGGGATACTGGCTCTCTGCGAGATCAACCTCGACTCGTTTATCCCCTCATCTGACCTCTCGATCCCCGGTTACCTTCCTCTTCTTAGAAAAGATTCTCAAACCCACATGTACGGCCTTGGAGTTTACATCAAAGACCATCTCCCACTGAGCTAGAGAGCTCTCTTTCGAATCTCCAGACCAATCATACTTTTGTCTCCGCCTATCTCTCCTCAATGCTGTAAGCTACCTCTTTTTCCTCAATAGCTCTCCATCCTCCCAAGTCTGTGGTGTACTCGAAAGCATTTCCGACAATATAGACAAGGCTAACTCTCTTCATCCGTTTGCTCATATATTCGTGTTCGGGGAACATCCCAAGTGGCTTAAAAACTCTATAACTGACCTTGCTGGCATACAAACCCTTAACTTTTCTATTTCTCAATCCCTCACGCAAATAATTGACTTTCCCACACGTTTCCCCAACAACCTGGACGGTAAGGCTTCCCTTCTCGATCTCTGTTTCACCTCAATCCCCGAGTCCTGTCAAGCCTCGCAGCTCTGCCCTCTTGGCAGCTCTGATCATACTGTAGTGTCTGTCAACATCTTCTACTCCACCCCCGGCAAAGAAGCTCCTACCAACAGAAAATCTTTCTGTTATCAACGAGCAGACTCGAACTCGTTGCGGGATTCCCTTCGTGATGTCCCTTGGAATGTGGTCTTTAAGCTCGACGTTCAAGAATGCGCTTCTGAGGTCTCCTCCTGGGTAAAAGCTAGAATCGAGGCTTTCATCCCCGCAAGGAAATATAAGGTTAAATCGCGCTCATTCCCTTGGTTCTCTGCTGCTTGCTCAGCTGCTATTGCCCATAGGAATCACTTCACCCGCCTATATCCAAGTGACATGTCAGATCGCAATAGACGTCTCTTTGTCTCAGCCCGTAACGAGTGCAAGCGTGTCCTCAATGAAGCAAAGTCACTATTTGTTGATAGAATGAAACAACGCATTGCATCTCGCAAATTCGGCTCCAAGGATTATTGGTGCCTCTGAAAGAGCGTACTTAACAACGGCATACCTTCAATACCTCCTTTGTTCAACCAATTTGAGATCCTGACCTCCTCAGCTGATAAGGCTGAGTGCTTTGCTCAGAAATTCTCTTCCAACTCAACGCTCGACTCATCCGGTGTACCCACACCCGATTTCCCCCATAGAACCGAGGCTCTATTGAGCGAGTTGCACATAAGCCCATCGTTGGACATTATCTCAAAATTAGACCCCCACAAGGCTAGCGGTGGAGACGGGATACCAGTCATCGTCCTGAAGAAATGTGCTCCTGAACTGGCCCCTGCCCTCTTCAAATTATATAACTATTGCCTCTTGAATGAATCTTGTTTTCCAGCCTGTTGGAAGTCCTCATCTATTGTACTTGTCTTTAAGAACTCTGGAGACCCTTCTAAATCCTTCTAATCACCGTCCTATCAATCCCCTACTCCTCTTCGGCAAAGTCTTTGAAGCTTTAATCAACGCCGAAGTGCTTAATCAACTTATATCCTATAATCTGCTCTCTGATAAGCAATATGGTTTCCGCTTTGCCCTTTCTACAGCTGATGTGCTCACGGCTATAACTGAAACTGTTTACCAAGCACTTCACAATAACACAAAATCTCATGATGTGGCTCTAGAAATCTCTAAAGCGTTTGATAGAGTATGGCATGCCAGCCTCCTTCGTAAGATTAAGGGATACGGAATTTCAGGTCGATTATTTGACAATGCAATCATTCCTGTCAAACCATGTAATGAAGCTCGTCCTTAACGGATTCTCCTCCACGAAAGCAGGTGTTCCCCAAGGCTCTATCCTGGGAACTACTCTGTTTTTGATCTTCATTAACGATCTCCCCGATGTCATCAGTTCCCAAGTAGGTATCTATGCTGACGACACTTATTTACTCCTGCCTCAATAGCAAATCTGGTATCGCTGACAAAACTAACCTGGCCGTTAGTCTCGAAAAGGGCCTCCAATCGGTTGTAGACTGGGGCAGGAATTGGCTGGTTAACCTTAATACCTGTAAAACTGCTCTCTATTACTCACCACAGGAAACCATCCCTGTCTCCCGTTAGAATGTCTGACGCGCAGCTCCACGAGAACACCTCTTTGCGACTGCTTAGTCTCACACTGTCCGCTGAGTTGGGATAGAACAAATACATTGAATCAATAGCTTCATCCACCGCAAGGAAAGTTGGTTCTCTGTGTCACGTCAGAAAGGTTATCCCGCCCGAGTTCATCCTTCAAATCTATATATCAACCATTCGCACTTGCATGGAATATTGCTGCCATATATGGTCTGGTGCCCCCGCTGTTCGCCGTAAGGTCCTCGATAAGATCCAGAGACGGATATGCAATATGATTGGCCCTGATCTGGCATCTCGTCTACAGTCGCTTTCTCACAGACGTGCCGTAACCTCCCTCTGTCTTTTCTACAAATACTTTCACGGTAACTGCTCCGACGAGCTATTTTCGCTAGTTCCCAGACTGCATGAATTTAAGCGTGCTACTAGGCTGGCATCGGTCCCACCCTTTCACTGTCGAAACGGTTAAATGTTGCCATCTCTTCTACTCCAATAGCTTCATGTCTCACACCTCCCGTCTGTGGAATTCCCTTCCTCTTACTTGTTTCCCTGATAGCTATAATCTCCAACAATTCAAATGCAATGCCAATCGACATCTCCAGATGCCCTGACCTATTCCCTGCTTTTTTCTTCATTTGTTCCTCCATCACGCCTCTTTACTCTCGCTCCCACTCTGTAACCCCTTGCATACTGTTGGCATACCGCCTTGCTTGGGGCGAAATGCTTAAAAAAATGTTATTATTGTTGCTTTTTAGATAAAGTATTTTCACTATTATTTTTAGTCCATTTTATTATTGTTGCTTTTGGTAAACCATTATTTTATAACGAGTTTTTTTTTTACAATGATATTTACCCTGTGCAAAGCCAGAGAACCACTCGAGGTATAGGGTTACAGTTTATAAGGATACGTATGGAAAACAGTTGCGTCTAAGCTTAAATTTAAATGATTGTCCAAGATAGGAATTTTGAACTGCAGAAGTCGGTTTGTAGGAAGAATATATCCGAGTGGAAGTTTTGTGTCACTAAGAGAATACGAAGGGAATGAAGGTGGTTCGCTGCAATGTGCGTGGCATGGCGGCTCGTCTTTTTTATCTAACAGGCGGAAATTTTACCAATTTTTTTTGTTTGAACACGTTCCATGAAATCCAACGATAGAACATTTTTAGACTTTTAAGATTCTATCGAGAGTGGAAAGTTCCACCAGGATATCCTGTCCATATATGGCAAATTTTCTAAGCCATTTTCGACCTGATCTGGCTGTAGTAAATATAGATGATAGCATGAGGAGTCAGGTACTTACTGGAGCGGTACAGGGAACCGACACTTTTTCCAGTATTTTTAGCGATGGCTTGTGTGTACGAACTTAAATCTGGGTTGACTTTAATTTCCAAGAGGCGCTCGAGGCTTCCCTAAGAGGACATTCGTTTGTCGCGATAGCTGGAAATTCAATGTTCGTTTGGAGATGATAGTTTTTTTTTTCGAGTTGTTGAATGAAATCAGCCAGATTTTTCCCTGTTGAGCTGGTAAAATTTTTCTTTATTGAGTCTCTTGAGGTCGATAAACGTAAATCACACACTTAAAAAAAACAAAAAAAAAAAAACAATCATGGCGTCTACTCAAACATGAATAACCATAGAATAATGTTTGATTTGGTGGGAACTAATGTCGAATAAAATATCCATTCATTCCTTAGAAATTATTATTATTTGCATGCACGTGCTTGAGTTTTGTAATGTTTAGCGGGGTTACTTTTGTCAAAAGGTTTTATTTCTATATCCTTCATTGAGAGCTTCAATATGAATGGCCGTCTATAGAAGCTTATGAATCACAAGGGTTCTAGGGGTACAAACTGCGTGAGAAATTTCTCCCTCTCCCCCTATTTTTCTTTTAAAAAGTCTTTCACTTTCATATAGCTCCCGGTCGAAGAGAATGGGATTCGACCGAATTCCCATTAAAAGTAACAAATGAATAAACTTGACTTTTTCATTCGTATCGATGGAACCCAACTTTGAATATTTGCCTCCATTTTTTTTTTCAATTTTCATCGAGCTTCTTTCCCGCCATGACTTATGAACAACGACATCTGGCGTCAAATTTGCCGTCAGAAATGTGACTTGTATTGTGTCTGCTTTTGGGTGGTTGGTTGGTGAAATTAAAAAAAAGGGAGAAATAAATAACAGACAAAAATGAAAGGTTTGTTTAGAAAAAGGCGACAATAAAGTTATCAAGAAGTCTGAGTGAGTGGCTCATCTCGGTCCGTCGATGTCTGTTCATATCCACGCGCGCCTATTTCAACAAACGGCGATGTATTTGGATTTCTTCCGCTTAATCTATTAAAGTATTTTTGGCTATAGAGATGAGGCACCTATCTATCTATCTATCTATCTATCTATCTATCTATCTATCTCAACCTGTTTATATCTATCTATGATCTATCTCTCTCTCTATATATATCTATAATATATATCTCTCTATATATATATGTATATCATTGTTTCTATCTATCTATCTATCTATCTATCTATCTATCTATCTATCTATCTATCTCAACCTGTTTATATCTATCTATGATCTATCTCTCTCTCTATATATATCTATATATAACTATAATATCTATCTATCTATCTATCTATATATATATATATATATATCATTGTTTCTATCTATCTATCTATCTATCTATCTATCTCAACCTGTTCATATCTATCTATCTATCTATCTATCTATCTATCTATCTATCTATCTATCTACGTTTCTTCTTATACATTTTTTCATTGAGTAAGTATTTGTCCGATAGCAAAAGACTTCATCTTTCATCGTACATATCACAACGAAGTTTATAGACCAGAACTTAAATACAACATAATTAATTAACACGCAAAATATGAAGTATGTTTCTTACTGAAGCAGTTATGCAACAATATTTGCAAAGAGCGCCCAATCAAAAAATAATTATTAGTTCGTTTGATAAAACAATACTTAATATTAAAAAGTATTACTTGCAAATGGGACATTCCATTGTTATGGTAACACGAGATGTTTGGTTATTGGTATTGAGTAAATCCTCCTGTAACCATAACAATGGAATATCTCATTACCAAAAAGAGGAAATCAGGCTGTGTGTCTTATAAATAAAAATAGAGGTAATGTAGTATTTCCTATGATATAAAGGAAATTGAAAGGTTAATCCAATGAGTTTCCAAATTGGAAATGTCAACAGAACTAAATTGCACAACACAGGCAATGATATAAATTCATATTAAGCAAATGTGTTTTTTTATTGAAGCAGTTATGCAAAAATATTATTAATGCATTATTTCAGTTGATATAAATCATTATAAAAAATATTGAATTTATTTTCAGTCTTCCTACAATCATTTAACGCTGTTCAACTTTTGATCAACAAAAGTAAAGCCTCATCTTCAAAGTATTCTCTTATTTCCTACAGCAATTGTTTGGAACTTTTGTCCCAAAACAGCAAAGACAAATGAGTTCAGAACTGATTTTAATTGTTAATAAACTCAAGGCATAAAAAAGAATATGTCGAATTTTCCCAAGAAGATGAGTATGACTAAATCAACAGTACACCCACAATAAAGAAATTCAAAATGGCTGATGATGATGGAAGAAATCTTCCACAAGTAAAGTTTCTCCAAAGTAGACAAGGACCTCAGTAAAGATCCATGAATGACATGAGATGTGAGTATGGCTGACCACTTGTATCCCTAAAGGTGGTTAGCTAATCCCTGATACAGATGCTTGCTCAGGCATATTTCAGTTTCTTCAAAATACACAGAGCCAACCTGTGGTTTATACTGCAACTATGACAAGCTGAAGTTTCTGGGAGACAGCATATAATCTGACTTGTGACTTTGTGCTATTACAACAATCAATGACGTCCAAACAGTTAGGTCTACACAATTTTAGTCACAAGGTTTGGGTTAAAAAAGGCTTGGGTCAACTAGTGGTGTGTATTTTAGGAACTTAAAACAATCTATATTAATTGTTTATTAATTATTTAATTGTTTCCCCTCTTGTTTTTCCCCTTTTCCTCACTATGTGTACAAAAAATTGCCTCTTTCTGATTCTAAGTACAGATATTCTTTTGGTTCCTATTTTTCCTTAAAACATCTTGGCTAATTGCAGAAGAACTCTTGAAGAGTCAACAGCTAGCAAATTCGAATAGGTGCCTCAATAAAAACACTGTGGAGAGGCAACAGACCATCACTTCACTATTAATCCTACAATTATTGTGATAAGTACAAGATTAACCATACCACCATAAGAAAAAAACAAAAAACAAAACAATAATGGCTGAATTTAAGTACATTTAAATTTTCCGTAAAATATATTGGATTTTTATCTAAACAAATAATTATTTTTGCATAAAAATTTACTTTTTAATGAAGAGTAAAAATATACAAAAAAAGCTAATATTAAAAAAAATATTGCTTGCAAATGAGACATTCCATTGTTATGGTAGCATGAGATGTTTGATTATTGGTATTGGGGCAATTAATTGTTAATATACTGAAGGTATAAAAATAATATGACAAGTTTCTCAAGAAGACGAGTGTTATTAAATCGACAGTCCACCCGCAATAAAGAAATTCAAAATGGCTGATGATGAGAGAAAGCTTTCGCAAGTTGATCGCATTCACAGTTTCACCAAGATTCATTTGCATGATTTAATCTTAATCATTTGTCAATGAATTTCATCATTTCTTAACCAGTATTCGATTATTCCATAATATTTTTCTCTGCATGGCCTGAAAAAAATGCCATTAATTTACACAATTTGATCTAGTTCATTTCAAAGATATTTTATGGAGCTAAAACGATTCAGTTGTTAAATAAAAAAAAAGAAAGAAAATGTTTCGCATATTATCTGATAAGTTTATGGACGTGATCTGTCCAGTTTAGATAGAGTCTAAAAACGTCTACGCGTCCTTGTGGGTGATGAATTATTTTCCACCTTGCAACCCCTTTCGCCACGGACGAGACGCCGCAAGCTTCACGATGCTCTATCGCTATTTCCACGGAAAGTGTTCAAATGAACTACACCCCTTAGATCTACCAGTACTAACCATCACTACTAAGATCCACCATGCCACGCCCATTATAGTGAACCACCTACATTCCCTTTGCGAGACCTAAGTTCCACTCGAGCAGCTTTTCCTCACGAATCGCTGCCTAGTGGAATAGACTGCCAAGAGGATGCTTCCCCGATCACTACAATCCTAACCTGTTCAAATCTAGGAATAACCTCTATCTTCCACGCATATCCACATAAGTTGTGCATATTAATCTGTAACACCGAGTGGCCCTTTTACAGGGAGAACATCATAGTAAAAAAAAAAACTAAGTTTCCCTAAGGGTTTTAATGGTCAACCAGATTAATTTCATTAACCATTACTCCTCTTAGGGTTTTATATAAGAGCTTTTAAATAAAGCCATTTGTTTTCTGGTTATTACTTTGCAGTAACTCTTGGGAGCCATATAAAACTAGTCAACGCGGTTTTTGGTGCAAAGAAACAAAACACATTTTTAGCTAATTTGATGGTGCTGTATCTGTTTATATTTTTGAGATGAGGTATTATGTACATTATTTACATTATTCGGACTATTGTCCTCATCTTTATCGCCATATTTATTACAACGTTTCGGCCTTTCAGTATCTGTTTATATTTCTGAGATGAGGTATTATGTACACTATTTACATTATTCGGACTATTGTCCTCATCTTTATCGCCATATTTATTACAACGTTTCGGCCTTTCAGTATCTGTCTATATTTCTCAGATGATGTATTATGTACACTATTTACATTATTCGGACTATTGTCCTCATCTTTGTCGCCATATTTATTACAATGTTTCGGCCATTGTACGTTCCGGCCTTCATCACGTGGTTGGAATATCGAGCTGAATCCTTTATTTCGCTCACTGGGGTAGATTGATCTAGTACCACGTGCCATGTTTAATGGATGTCAGTTGTCAGTTATCTCCTGCTGATTCCCCTCTCCAAGTTTTTCCACTGCCTTAACCGGGTATTGAACTCGCACTCCTTGGGTCCTGTCACTGGATCTAACTAAAGCCTTTATCCACTGTGCCATGTGTCCTTGAGGACTGACAACTGACATCCATGCTTGAAGACATCTTTCTCTATTCTAATGTAAAAAAAAAAAAAAATAGATATTACGCAGGAGTTCAATACTCTTTTCTTCGTTTGTAACGAAATTTTCCCTTTTCTTAATTCTTTGCTTAGTTTCTGGAAGTCATTTTTCTCTATTCTAATACAAAAAAATTGATATTACGCGGCAGTTCAGTACTTTTTTTTTTTATTTCTAACGAAATTTTCCTGTTTCTTAATATTTTGCTTAGTTTTTTTGATGGCATCTTTCTCTATTCTAATGTTAAGAATTAGATATTAGGTAGCCGCTCTGCACTCTCTTTTTTGTTTCTTACTAAATTTTCCTGTTTCTTAATACTATTCTTAGTTTTTGGAAGGCATCTTTTTCTAGTCCAATGTATGTTTGAATTTTTTGGTATCACATTTTCCATCGTCTGTTAAAGTACTTCGCAGATATTTAAGCTTGTGTATCTGTTTGATTCTGGCATCTCTCATTCGTAGTTAGTATGTTTTTTTTTGTTTAGTTTTGTTTTGTTTTTTTTTTTTTTTTTTTTTTTTTGTTTCTCTTGCTTACAAGCATTTGTGCGTCTTCTCAGCCCATTAAACTGGATGACCAGTCGTGTTTTATCCGTTTGCCAAGGGAGAAGAGACGATGCGAAGCCTGCTGTTCCGGCTCGTATTACGAGGAAGTGAATGAGGTCAAACAATTAAAAAGCAGTCCTCACTAGATAATGGAGAACGGTAGGGACTGCAATGTTTAGTAGAATCTATTCCTCTGGGGATTGATCGTTTTATTTTTTCTCTTATAAGAATATTTGGGATTTGATCCCAGAAAACACTTCACTAGGAGTCATTTCCAATAACCATAGAAACGAAAAATAAACAAAATAAAAATGAAGCGAGAAATAAAAAAGCACTTTTGTTGCTAAGCGCGGCATAGCAACTAAAAAATGTCCTTTGTTTCTTAACATAAGAGTCAACACCAATATTTTCTAACCAAAAGATTCATATTAGTTCGATATTTTACAAAAGATGACAGAGGAAACGATTATGCTGGAGACTGTCTTCTCGTCGTGGCCCCAGATCAGGAAGAGAACGAATTAAAACCCGTCTCAATGTAGTTTTAATCAGTGGGAGGACGAATTAATAATATCTTCATGTCGTGGCTTTAGATCAGGAAGTGAACAAATTAAAACCCTTGTCATTGTAGCTTCTAATCTATGGGAGGACGAATTAAGAATGTCTTCTCGTCGTGGCTTCAGTTCTGGAAGAAAACAAAGTAAAACCTTTCTTATTGTAGCTTTTAATCAGTGGGGGGCAACTTAATATTATCTTCTCGTAGTGGCCTCAGCTCAGGAAGAGAACGAATTAAAACCTTTCTCGTAGCTTCTAATCTATGGGAGGACAAATTCAGAATGTCTTCTCGCTTTATTCTCAGAAGAGTGGGATGACAAATTAGGAAAGTCATCCCGTTGCGATTTCAAATCACCAGAAAGACAAATTAGGATTATCGTTGTGGAGGATAAATTAAAGACTATCGTCGTGGAGAACAAATTAAGGACTATCGTCGTGGAGGATAAATTAAGGACTATCGTCGTGGAGGATAAATTAAGGCTCTTCTTGTTGTAGCTTTTGATTAATAGGAG